GAAGGAAAGATAAAGAACACCTAGAGACATCGAATATCATCCCTAACTTCCAATTTGGATTCAAAACTGGTCATTCCACGCACAATGGATTGATAGAAGCAGAAACTTTCATTTCTCAGACATTGAATGAGCACAACAGGCAAGCTATTGACATTTTTCTAGATGTGCAAAAGGCGTTCGATCAGGTCTGGCACGTACTGATCGATAAACTGCACCAAGCCGCAGTGCCTATTCCAGTCCTGAGAATAATCCAATCTGATCTTTCTGCTCGGACTATAAGAGTCAAAGTCGAAAAACAATTATTCAACGCATTCACTCAGTAAAGTAAAGAGTACCAAAGGGCTCAATAATTGCGCCGATACTATATACAATCTATAACAACGATCTCTCAATCCCCCACAACTCGTCCGAGAGTATCCTGCTATACGCTGACGACACTGCCCTACTTGCCTCCGGCTCTCTCAGGGCCGATGGTAGAGGTGGCTCTGTGTTCGATAGAGCACAAGCACAACTCGACAAAATAGTCGAATTATGCAACAAATAAAGAGTAACACTAAATCCATTAAAAAACCAACTGATCCTATTCAGAAACTCTAAATGCTCCCAATTAGAGCTAGAACAACGAAACCACATACTGCTCAACGGAGCAAGACACGACTTCAGACCGTCGGTGTCCTAATTAGGTGTCGAATTTACAAAGACACTCAACTGGAACGCTGACCTTAGAAACACCTTGGACAAGGTAAGAAGCAGAGCCAAACTCCTAACAGCACCAAGTGGCAAATTCGGAAACACCAGTCAATTTACTTTCCAATACACGTATAAAACCTTTTTAAGACCAATTATCAAATACTTACAGAGCGAAAATCTACACTTTTTAAACAAAAGACAACCAAACTAAGTTATCGCCGCTGAAAGGAAAATCCTGAGGAAAATCATGTATAAAATGTATGAGTCAAAAGTCAGTCAGGGTAAATCCATCAAATAGCAAATGTAGTAATAGCAAAATGCAGTAACAAAAGAGAGATCAAGACAAACGAATGTTAATATAAAAAATAGAACTAATTATAAAGGATAGAAAAGAAGTAATAAAGTAAAATAATTTGTTATTTTACAATTTATAAAGTATTTTGTTTTTAGAATCATGTAGTTTGCATTGTGATTAAGAACTATAACCTAAGTGTTAGGCTTCCAAATGAATAAACAAATAACGATAACTTAGCTATCGTTTATCCTTTAATTTAATTTTAAAAAATTAATTAAAATAACAGCAAACAAAAATAAAACTTTCAGTATCTTTCATCAGTTTAATTTAATATGATAAAAATACAAGTCCAAATTGATATCGCAGGTAGTAGGTACCCTACCTTTGTAATACAGATAGCGAAAGCAAAGGGGATTTATTTTATAACGTCAGTCACAAAAGTGTATAGATAATGTAATACCCGCAGCGTAAACATTCTCGCTACAGGCACGAGGTCACGAACGCAGTGCAATATAGTACATCACTTTTACAATTCAATCGTCTCCTTATCAATTTCATTCAGCATTTACAGGTGGTTATTATTTTCAGAAATTCGCTCGTTCTGAAAGCTCCAGAAACAGCTTTTTCCGAATCTCTTCAAGAATCGGGCGCGTAATAACGGTAGTAAAACACCTGGCAACCGCGCTGGGGAGTATAACGCACAGTTGCCAAGTAATTTATACAAAAATCGAATTTTGTACTAATAGATTAACGAAAGGAACAAAATTAGTTTTTGATAAAATAATCTGTCTGTTCTACTTTATATGGATTATATATTTAATTATATGTATTTTAAATATGTTAACGTATAAAGATATATCTCAAATTCAAATATTTAAAATTTATGTACACAAATAAAAGTTTGTCATGAAATTTGTATCTTTATTAGATTTAAATAATTTTATAATTAATTATTAACAATTTAAGGATCACCTCATATTTTTGTTATTAATATGGAAATTTGAAGCCGCGTTGGAAGAGCTGAAAAAAGCATAAGTACTCAGCACAATGTAAAAAATAAACGAAGAAACCAAATGATGTATCAAAGAAAATAAAATCCTCTACATGAAACATATGAACAACGAAACCCCAAAAGACATACAGATACAGAACTACAAAGAGACAATAGGGAGGTAAAGCGAAGGAGGGCGATAGAAAAGAATTAAGAATGGCAAGGAACCTGCGTATAGAGCGTACAATCGGAAAAACTATGAATCGATAGAAAATACCGTCGATGGTGATGATGGTTGGCGCGAACATTTCAGTGTCGAAGTAGAAGGTACCGTATGCCGTCACCTCTTTTATTGAGGCAATTTGGCCTTTTTTCAATTTCTATGGCCTTTGGTTGATGGTGGCTATGGTTCTGGAGTTTTCAAAATCAATTTTGTAACTTTTTGTATTAAAATGGTGTTGACCTAGAGCTGAATTTGAATCGGAATTGTGAACAAAAATGGAATGTTTATAAATACTATTTTGGACTCTACGATTTTGTCAATGACACCTTTGATGTAAGGAAGAAAAGATTTCGTATAAAGGGGTATAAAGGGGGGGTGAGTCTTTGGGTTAAGATTGAGTAGTAGATTGATGTCTATGTTTGGGATGAGGGCTTTTAAACTAAAGAGCTCAGCGGGTCTACTTGCATAATCGTAAAGGCGTATTGATCTCGAGACAAGGGTATTAATGACTGAAATAATTTGTGAAGGTGGATGATGGGAGTTGGCATGCAAGTAACGATTGGTATTGGTGGATTTTCGATAAAAAGAGTGATAAAAACCGTGGGATTGGTTTTTCTTTATGATAACGTCGAGAAACTGTAAGGATGAATGAGTTTCCATCTCCATCGTGAACTGGATACTAGGATGTATACCATTCAGATGGCTTTGAAAAGACACCAAAGGATCACTGCATCAAAGACACCAGTGTATATGAAACTACTGCACATTTTGAATCGTTAAACCATTGAATAACTGATCTTAGATCATCTTGCAATTTGACTGCATCTTTCTTATTAGAGATTGTTTTAAAAAGCTTAAAATCATCGGCATACATAAAGCTGTTACAAGATTTAATGCAGTCTGGCAAGTTGTTAATAAATAAAATAAAGAGCAATGGTCCTAGTTTGCTCCCTGTGGGACTCCTGAGGATGACACATATTGGTGAGAAAAGCAATTACCTACTTTTACTGTATTATTTCTATCTGACAAATAAGATTTTAATAAATTAAAAGCTTTTCTTGAGAAACCAAACTGTACCAGTTTATTTAAAAGAATACAGTGATTTACCTCATCAAATGCTTTTTCGCAATCTGTATACAGAACGTCCAACTGTTCCCCTGCCTCAATAGCCTTAGCAATTTGTTCAGAGAGAACACAAAGATTAGTTACTGTCGATTTGTCTGTTACAAAACTATTCTGGAATTTGCTGATTTTAGTCTTAACATACTCATATATAATCATAAAGAATACTTTCAAATACTTCTTTTTTATGTATTGGAGAAATTGTTGCCACTTTTAAAATACCTGGAAAATGTTCCTGTTCAATCGACATATTAAACAAAAACGCCAGAAGTTTAGCCAAGGGCTCGGCCATTCCCTTTAGATATAGGGTGGTATTTCATCAGGACCTGTAGATTTTTTGGGTTTAAGTTTTTTAATACTATCTACATCTAATTCTGTGATATTTAAAGGTAAAAGAACCCCACTCAGTACTTTGAGAATGACAATGTGTGCAGTCAGATGTATCATACACTGATGCAAAATATCTAGCAAAGGCACTCGCAATATCAAAAGGTGTATTAAACTTGGAGTTGTTTAATGACATTTCTATGGGAATTCCACTATTCTTATATTTTGACTTAAAGAAAGTTCAGAATTTGTTTGGGTCAACAAGTAGATGGTTTTCAAGTGAGCGTTTGTATAAGTTATGCTCATATATTTGGTTTGGTTTTTAATATCAGTTCTTAAAGTCTGAAATTCGTTATCGTAACAAGTTTTACTTACATATTCCCAAATATGTTCAATGGGATTGAATTCCCAACAGTAAGGGGGTAATCTTAACAAAACTTATGTCGAAATCCGTGTATAATCTCGTCTATTATAAATATTTTTGGTTTTTCATACCTTTTTTTCTAACGGTAGTAATTCCGGCTTAAAAGAATCCTGAGGAAATGACATAATTTCATTCGTTAACAACTCTTTTTATCTACTGTTCAGAAATTTTTTGTTTACTTATTTAAAAGTTCCGAATGGTATGGGGCATTATACAAAACTATAACCGATGGTTCATGTAAACTTGGAAGCAGTAGTTTTTTCAACTATTTCACAAACATCCCCCTATTCATGTTATCGTGATAATCAGCGGATTTTGATTTTGACGAAAACACAAGATCCGCTCCATCAATAAAACCTTATAATATGTTTCTTCCGCTCAGTATCAGTGTGCTTTATGGGTTATGAATATTTAAATCTTTTCGTACGGTTGTTAACATGGAGTTGTCTTTAATGTTGAGCAAAAAATTAAAACTGCTAGACAAACAAACATTTCCGCGTAAAATTTACAGCGCACTGTAAATAACTTCTTGTTAATACTGTAAAAAATATTATATAAAACAATAATTATGTAAAGTACTTTAAATGGCTTGATTCATATTTTCTTTACTAGAACAATTTATTTCGTATTTCTAAAATGCTGTACAGTAAAGTCGACTATTGGCTGTCGAGTAGTGATACAAAACAGTCACAAATTCGTGAAATATACTATACGTTTAATTTACCTATTAATGTACTCACATAATACTTGATAATTTACCGATTAGAAGATTGCCAGAGAAATTCCTAATTTCAAATTCAAGCTCTTATTGGGACAATAATATTTTTTTCTTTAACTTCGTACACCATAGTATTTAATGTTAAAAAAACAATCAAACTTTTTCATTATTTAAATACAAAAATGTAAAAGTATTTTTTTTTTCTTACAGAATAATCAGTAAGAGTTAGAATATAGAATACTCTTGGCAACGCTGAATTATCAGTCTTGCTGGGCCGGGCTTGGGGAAACATCATCAGACAATCGAGGCCACGCCGGTGCTGCCGCTGAGCTAACATACGGCGAACCCGGCAACTAGGCTACAGCACACCAGCTTAGCATTGCCAGTTAGTGAATAGCGATAGGTATGGCCTCTGCGAAAGATACGGCTACGTTCTTTACTCACGGCACCTGTCAACATTTCGAGCAGGTCCTCAAGTTATATCCACAAGCCCTTCGATTGAAAGCTGATAGAAAAGCCAAAAAGCCAGAGGAACTGATTAAATTAGACAATTGGTAAGTACAATTTTAGTGTTGTGTCATTGAACCCTACTAATGTGTTCACTGTCTAAGTCGTCGAGGTCGAATGAATAGCTTTAGCACCCCCGCGAGATCTTTCTCCGACGGTCATTAAAATCACGCTTGTCACGTGGTAATCGATGACAACTGCAACATGCTCTTAAATCCAAAATACTTGCATTTTCGTGTGAGATATTTCGCGTTGCTATGTCGGCGTCATGGCCTCATCCTTTTTGTATGAGAATCGCGTTTAATTCTATTAAAAACTATTTAAATACATTTATTAATATTCATAATTGTTTATTGAACTAATTAACAACAATTATAAGTTAATATCCTTGTGATTTTTGTAATATAATAGTTTAAATACTTGTAAAACATGCAATGTAATACAAGTAACTTTCAAAATGGTGTCTGATCAAACAAAGCATTCTCCGTTGGTCTTTATTATCCATATTTTCGGCATTTTTACGCCGGTTTTCAATCATAAACATTGAACCATTTGTTTGTACTGTTCTTACAATTGTTTACTTTTTATTTATCGCGCCGTTTTCATACTTTAAATTGATTGATCTTGACCGAATCTCAACGTGAGTAGTGGGGATTTCTATTAACATCGTTAGGTTGATATTATTAATTCCATGCACTTTCTCGCGATATATACCTAAGTAAAGATGTGTATTTGTTACTTTTAAAGTCTTTGATCATATTTACAAGAATTCTTTAATAAGATACCTAGAAAAAAAAAAAACAGCTGCGTCTAATGGAAAATACCCAGATGGTAATTCCGATGTTTCACAATGTATGGGGGTTTAATTGAGAAATACTCGCACTTTAGGGGTAAATAGGGGCTATTGAGATGGTTTTATTATGTATACTTTTAGATTTCTAATAAATTTTAATATAAATTATTCTTTGTTCAATATGGCAGCAAAACTGTTTAATAAAAAGTGGCCTTAGAGGGTCTTACGTATTTGGTTTACATCCAAAGCTTATTATGAGAATTTTTGTAGTTTGTTTACATGTTTTGAAAACAACTGAATGTTTTTTTGGTACTCCCACACTAAAATAACGATACACATAAAATATAAAGAGATTTTTATACATATTTCATCAAATATTGTCCAGGTTTCCAAGTTACTTCTTTTTCATAATATTGAGGTTTATTTGTTTATACCTTTATTTTTATGAGGTTTTATGGTTTATAGGGATAGCCTTGCGTTTTTTCTATGTCCAATCTACTTTCCATCACTGGTTCTTATAAATTTGTGTTGTTTTTTACCAAATAGTTTCTAATTGTACTGACTTATAAATTGCTTCACATTATTTGCCAAATTTTTTAATCCAAATTTTTATTGTTCATTTGTATTGATATGTTTATGCTATTTCTTATTACATTCTTCATTTCTGTTATGTCAAAGGGATAGTACAAATATATTATCACATTGGCACAATCCTTGTTTTGTTTAGAAATTTTATTTTATTAATAAAATTGTTTTTTTTTTATTTTGTGGTCAATATCTTAATTCTTATAAACCCCTGTATGTACAATGAATTTATGTATAGATATTGTTTTTTAACATTTTGATGCCTTGTGATTCTTAATAACCATTTTATCTTTCATTCCAATCCATATCTTCTGGATATGTCATTTCCTTGTCTATCTCATATGTCCAACATCTGGTTTGTCCTAGTTTTTTGTACATGACCAAATCATATATTTTTTTTTATACCACCGACCAAATCATAGATTTTTTTTTATTTTTGACCTTTCTACCCTTCTCCAACAATTCATTTGAGTAGCTTTTATCATTGTTATTCTTTTTTTTTTCTAATAATACTTCTGACTATGGTTCTTGTAGATTCTTCTATTTTCTCAAATTGATATGATTATCCAATAATACCCCATTAAGTAATGATATGATTTTTCTTTCTGTGTATTTCAATTTTTAATTGCTTTGTCCAGGGTTTTTAATAGCAGGTCCATTTTTTATTTATGTTTGTCACCAAGAGCTCATACTTTTGTTATTCTTACTGGGTATACTGCTGTTCTTAATTGAGGCAATTTTTCTGTGACGATTTCTTTAATATGTTTACTATGTTGTATTGATATTGTACTTATACTCTGTTCACTCAGTTTGGAAATATTTTGACATGTCATTGTTGGAAACATACAAAGCCCTACTTTATTAATATTTGAAATACATTTACTGTTCTAGATTACATTAATTTTGATTAAAAACATAAATAAAATTTAAAAAGAACTAAAACATTTAAAAAATAAACATTTAATATTTTAATTGATATATTTTTATTAATAAATTGCATGTGAATAATTTTTTTTACTTTAAGTTATATTAGCTATGAAGACATGTGTTTGGTTGTAAAATATCTTCCAGTTGGAGTCAAAATTTGACCAATGTAGCAAATAATGAATTACTACATTTACTAGGCGGTTGGAACTGGGTGTAGTGAACAGAGTTTTTATTTGCTTTTTGTTATTATTGTCCCTCTTGTGTTGACTTTTGAATCTTTGATTTTTTTCTCTAATGTGATGTTACATAGAATACAGGATAAGGCATCTCCTTGTTGTAGACCTTTTCTAACATGGATTGTATGTGTTAGTTCATTTTGAATTTGCATTTCTTTCAAGTGTTGAACTATTAAACTCCAGTGTCTGGATAAGAAATTTTCTATCAGTGTTATCATAGGCATTCTCAAAATCAATGGAAAGACACTGTGTATATTAAATTCACTAGTTTTTTCTAGGATCTATCTTAAGACACAGGATTTTTGTTCCCCATGTGGTCTTAGTCTCTTATATATGATATTTGCGAGTATCTTGTAGCTATATTTTCAGTATCATTATTGCCCAATAGGTTTTGCATTGATCTCCCTTTTTGTGTAGTATGATCAATCTGGCATTTTGACATTTAATAGATGGTCTCTGCCTTCTTTTATTAATCCGGGTGACTTGTTATTTTTTAGTATAGTAACTGCTTCTTTTATTTTTATTTTATTATTTCAGATACTGGAGGTTTATTTCTCTGTTATTAGTTTGATCCAGTTTCAATCCATCATATAATGATTAGTGATTTTGATTTAAATTATTTGCTACTTTTATAAGTTTTTTTTATAGTAGTTCTTGGTTTCTGTTGGTTTATTTAGTTATCCTATCTCTCAGAGTTCTTTTCCTATATTTTCTTTTCTTTAATGTATTTTTTTCTCTCCTTTCCTTAGCATTCTATATTTTTCTTCTGCTTGTCATGTCCTATGCTGTTGTTGTAATTGTCAGAAAGTTATGTTATGACATTCTTCATCACACCACTGTCCTACAGTTATTTTTATCTTTTTTTTTGTATACAATAGTTTTACTTTTACACTGGTGGCATATTATCTTAATATCATCAAATATCATCAACTTTAGCTTGACAATCCTCTGGATCCTGGCCTGCTCCAGAATTCGTCACCACTCTGTTCAGTTTCTGTTGACCTGTTGCCATCTTGTGATTTTTAATACCCCTAAGTCAGCTTTAACTTGATCTAGCTACATAATTATCGGTAGGTCTGTGCTTTTTCCTACAGGTGCTCCTGTTGTTAGCTGTGTGGTGTCTGTGTTGGCTGGCATTCAACTTATGTGTTCAGCCCATCTGAGTTGCTGTGTTTAATGAACATTACGATAGCTGGAATGTAAGTTTATTATTGTTTTGTTATGCCAACAAGGTATGTGAAGCTCTCAATATGTTCAAAAATATGACTTTGCGATAGGATCCTTAGTAAGTTCCATGCAGGTATTTGGTTTTATCTTTGTTAATGACTTGACCAAAATGTTTCAGCTTCATTTCCAGCTTAGAAGTCTTCCAGTTTCAGCTTGGAAATATCACGCTTTGAGACCATCCACCAGTCACAGGGTGCTCACTTCTTGTATAGCTCACTTCAAATTTGATCAGTTTCTGGTGATTAATTATTCTTAAGCTGGCTTGGGCAACCCCCTTAATGGTAGGTAGTTTTCCATTTGGGTTGAATAGATTCCATATATTCAAAATAGCATTTCGATCAGTTAGGGTGTTATCTTCTTCTGTGACATGTTAGCCATTAAATTTTGCCACAGTTCGAGACTGATAGTTTGATTATTTTTGGATTAAACTCTTCTCATTTTATTTAGGTCGCGATGGGTTTTTGCGTATTATGACGAGAATTTTTTTTATTCAGATCTTTCCACAAGTTCTTGTCAGAAGAAGGTATTGAAATTAAATCTTAACTGTCTTTCGTAATTATATAAGGATTTTTATTACAAAATGTAAGTACAATCGTACAAGCCAGTATTATAAATGAAATATTAAAGTGTTTTAAATCAAATGTATAATAATTATATGAGACAAAAATAGGAGATATGAAGTTTTTACTTCCAGTTTCAAAAAAACACATTTACTCATACATGAGTAAGATTTATAGTAATTGAAATTTTAAGTTTAAATCAAGCTTTTTCGTTTGTAAATAATCCTTAGCTTTCAAACTACTATATTTACAATTGGGCAAATAAATTGTAAAATATTACAAATAACAAAGTGTATGAATACAAAATAACCAGTGTTTTTAATTTCTAATCACCTCAACATGTCTCACTAAATAAAACACATCAAAAATCTTTAAGGATCACAAAGCTTTTTTCATATTTTCACCAATTTTGATTAGGTTTTAAAAAATGATATATAGTGTGACAAAGTGACATAGTACCTTTATAATACTTGATTAGTTAGCAATAAATTCATCTTAATTTTAGTGTACTATGATCTCTAGTGATGAAATAATCAAAATCTGTGTAATAAAAATAAATGAGGTTTAATAATCTGGGTTTCGTCCAGCAGATGTCTTTAATTATATATATTACCTCCTCCTCCTTCTTCTTAGCTTTCTGTCGTCCATGTTTGGACATAGGCCTCTCCCAACTCCTTCCATCGGTCTCTATCCTGAGCAACATATTTCCAATTTGTTCC